AGAGCGGGGGGGGGGAGTTACAGCTGTTGCTCAAATAATTCATTCATTTCACTAATAGATGATTATGATTAATAAATACTTGGACAACGAAGAGAATTTGAATTTGGCTTGTAACATTGCTGCCAAAGGGAGAACCTACCACAACTTCACGATAAAAATTAATTGAAACACGGAAATACCACGCCACAGGGAAACCATATTATGATAAGGTATTAGGGGTTTTGTAAGTGAACTCAAAGATCAAAAATACTGCGTGCTACAACGATGTATCCAAATGAACGAGTATAATAAACATGATAGGACGAGGAATGTAACATAAATGTACAAAAGTAATTTTTAAAGTGTATTTAAAGAAATAAGTGATTTGAAGGAGGGAAATGGTAAATACCAGACAGGTAAATTCTAAATGTCCATACCTTCAACATACTTTCATTATTCTTGATCTTAGTAGCCCCCACAGCAACTTTTTCAAATAATAATATTTTCTTTAAAATTAACCTTCAGTTGTTGTCGGTCAGACTTTGTTTACGCACGCTCGTGGCACTACAACCCCCCCCCTCTTTCTCCCCGGCGTCCGCCCTTCTCCTTTGTCCGAGAGCGCCGCTTTGGCCCGCTGCCGCGCCCACTCTCGTGCCACCCAACGCCACCGGCCTGTCACCCTCTTAGGGCCCCTTCCCACGGCGCGGCCGCGGCGCGCTTCGCAGCAGCGCAGCTCGAAGCAGAGCATTGGTTTGAATGGAGGCCTTCCCACGTGCAGCCGGTGGCCGCTGCTGCGGCAGCCTACGCCGAACTCCAGCCACGCGAAGCGGAGGGGGGCATACGCGCCACGGCTAGCAGTACACATCTTCAAATGGGAGCCTTCCCACTGCGCCGCCGGTCGCTGCGTTTGACCTGCTCCGGTCCATTTGTTCGACGTCGCCGGAGGGTCGGCGAAGGCCCCGCCGCTTGACGGACGCGCACTGCCGTGGCGGCGTGGTAAGGCGCCCTTAGGGCCCCTTCCCACGTGCAGCGGGCGTCCGCTGCTGCAGCAAGCGGTGGCGTGCTCTCGCTACGCGAAGCGGAGGAGGGCGTACTCGCCACCGCTGGCAGAACACAGCTTTAAATGGTAGCCTTCCCCCTGCGGCCGCCGGTCGCTGCGTTCTACCTGCTCCGGTCCCTTTGTCTGTCGTCGCCGGAGGGTCGGCGAAGAGCCCTGGCCGCTTGCCGGGCGCGCGTTGCCAGGGCGGCGTGGCGCGGCGCGGCGCACTTCAAACCCATAGTTTCGGCATGTGCGGTTTACGACCCCCATTTGCGAATTGCGACCACCCCCAGCCAGTGGCTCGGCCCCAACGCCCCGCCGACCTGCGCGGATTCTTTCAAACCACTTGCTTTGTAGTGCGGCTTACCGCAGCTCATTTGCGCGTTCCGCGAAGTGCAGCGGCCCCGCCCGGCCCTCGTCGCGCCTCGCGGAGGGGCGGTTCCTAAATATTTGCGTGCACCCTCGCGCCCCGGCAGAGAGATTTGAGATGGCTCGGAGGTCAGGTTGATTGAAATTCGTCAGTCGTGTGAGTTTGTGCGTTCGCGTTTACGCAGTCAGTCGCATCAATGCTCACGCTGCTTGCTCCGCGCTGGCAGTCGGCGCGATGCCTTGCCTCGCAGGTCTCCGGGCTGCCCACCTCGCCCTTCAGTAGGGCTGCAAACTGCCCATCAGCACACGCCGAGCCGGCATATTTGCGTGTCACTGTGTCCGGGTTCTTGGGGCATTCGCTCAGAGGTGTGCTGTGACGAGGGCATCCCATCCTTCACGCAGCGACGCCCCACCCCCCGGCCACAATCGGAACGAGCTCAGCGCTTCCACATAACATGTTCCTGCCTCGGAGGTGCCGAGCCAAGCAGTGCAAGTAGGTGCAAGTTCATTCTAAGCAATGCAAGCTCAGTAATTGAATTGAATTGAACTGTTGTGATCATCATTTGGAAAGGAACTTTTTATCATTTTGGTTATGTCAAACAATTTTATAGACCGCTATTTGTAAATTACTAATTTAGTTTTAAATTTATTTTTCCTTTCACAACTCGGGCCCTGCATGCACTTTGTATATAGTATAATATTTATAATTGTTTTGTTTTCCATTTTCTTACTTAGGCCGTTAGTTTTATTTTATTATTTCCAAGAGGCATTATGTCTTTCCTTTTATCTTCATTTATTAAATTAATATTTAAGCCAAATTCGCTTCTTCTTTTATCATTTGACCGATTCTATCATTTCCTCTTACGAGGTGGTCCTCCAGCCCTTTTCTACTAGTAGCCCTCTGGCTGCATAGTCGGGCCGATGTGTGTGCGCGCACAGCCAGTAGAAGAGTCCGCTGCTGGCTCATCCTCGTGTGAGAGGTAATATACTCTCTGGTGAGAGGTGGCTGCCAGATGAGTACGAACTGCGACCGCGCGCGCTTGCACGACACGGACGGACATATGGATGATTTCTATCATCTATAACTTTTTATTGTAATCGAATGAGAGGTGGGTCTAAACAATTGTATCATACTTTTCAAATAATTCTTAGGTTACATACTTTCCAAATAACTTTATTGTGTGAATGTACAAAAACTTAATGTGAAAACATTTTTATTGGAATGATTTGTACACCGTGTAATACATTGTGAATAATTTGAATCACGAATTTACTCTAGGTAAGCTAAAAAGGATTCGCATAAATAAGTACATAGAAAATTGTAACGAATTCAGTTAAATGTTTATAATAATTATTTTCAGTACTTGGAAATGACGTAAAATGTTCTTTGAAACATTGTACAAATGAATTAATTGAAAAAATATAAAATGAATTTATTTAACTGTCCTTAAATTTAAATGGATAATTTAATAATAAACAATAAATAATAAAAGCAATTTTGTTTTTTCAAATACAGCTCAGCAATCGAAAAAATCTAAAAAAAAATCACAATTGTTTTGAGAGGAAGTTTTGATATGTGTCGTGCCTGATCGAGGGTTCTATGTCCCAGTAATTTAAAGATTATATATATATATATATATATATATATATATATATATATATATATATATATATATACATATATATACACATTTTTTGGGGAAATTAAAATCCGCACCTATTAAATATCAAAAAAAAATTTTTTTTCTGATAGAATAAATTATATTCTTATTTTTTATATTTTTCAATTAGAGAAAATAATGTTAAATTGACGAAAAAATGAAATTAAAAAACACGTTTTTGGCTGCAAGTGCGAGGAAAGGGCTAAGAGTCCCTTATTTTGACATATGAGTCGCAGTTCAACTACTCATATGTCATTTGGTTGTAAGAAACTATTTACCATCTTTAATAATTAACCTTTTTATACTTAACGTTTATTTGCTGCACAAAATATGTATCCTTGAGCTGACCATTGGCACACTCCGTGCATGTAGACACCAGCAGCTATTTTACATAACCGTTTCAAATAACACTCGAAAGTTTGTGCTAGTAAGTCGCTAATTTAAGTCGAATTGGAAAAGTTAAACCGAGAATCGATATGCTTCAAATGAAACGGAAATGCCTCGCTAAGTGGAGGGAGGCAGAAATTGATCCGATATATTAAGGAAGATGTTATGGCGTTGGGAACTTGACATCCACTAACATAAATATATCTCTTGCTCAGGCTGAATTACTTGTCAACGTCTGTCCTCTAACTTATTTATCTGAAGATTCAGAAGATCCGAGGTTGTTGACACACGCAATGTTTTTAAAGTACTGAGCAGTGCAGGTGCATACATCGTGCAGCAGAGGTACAAAGAATCGTCCCAACTGCACACATTATTGACAGGGCGTTTCACTAACGAATATTATTAATATATTTCTTTTTAAAAGTGGTAAGCAAATTTCTGTAGCCATGAGCCACTTTGAGAAGAACATTCGCGAATTAATTAAAAATATTAATTTTAAAAGACAGGAAGTGTAAGAATGACCGGATGTCATCGGCCGCTTGAAAAAATCGAAGTACAGTTCTACGCTCATTCCGGGGCCTTCCTTCAGAATACGCGCGAAGCGGATCGAGCTCCGAATGTGCCTTGTATGCAATTGCACACAGGGGCGAGTGGATGCGGGTAGAGTGGTCATGCTGTCTTACGAAACGCGTACGCTGAGAATATTGCCGGTGCCACGATAATGCAATGTCTTCTTGAAATTGCCACAAGCAAAGTACACAATCAGACAGTGTCATTTAAAATGTATTGTGTGAGAAATGTATTAAAGAAGTTCACTGATCTGAAAACACAATTGGGGAAAGTCTGTCAACAGCAGTGTGATAGCAGTTAAATGAGTAAGTGTCTTACCTAAACCATGACATTGAATGAAAAAAGAAACCGAAAAGTAAATTACATGCTTCCGGGACAATGACCCTCATCTCGATCAGGTTTTTCATCCAGTTTCCCTGAACCTTTAAACAAGTACCCTTATTTTGCTTCTGGACATAATTGTAACTTCACTATCTGTGTACATCTTCTAGAGTTCTGTGGGAAGTGCAGTTATTCAAATTATTGTTCTCCACATTCTTGCTGTAGGAGGTCAGTTCCTTCACGACTGGCACAATTAGGACCAATAGCCCTAATCTGTAGCTGGACTACCTTTGCTAATTGTTTTTATTTCAACGGAGTGTATATATTGCATCTCAATTCTTGCCAAAAACCCTAATTTCCATCTGTATTCAGAATTCAACTTGCATGTGAGCAAGGGTAGAGATCCCAGAATTTAAGAAAACGTGCACAAAGTACACTTTTCCCACTTCTACATCACACAGAGTTAAATAAATTAATTAATTAAAATAATATAATAGGGTATTAATCTTTCGAGAATGTAATCACCAAAAATCCCTCATAAATGATATATGTTGATATGTCAACGTAACTAAGATGGTAACTATCATGACCATTTTTCAGGATCTTTCAAAATGTTACCAAAATAAGTAATCATTGCAAAACAAATATTTATCCAGGGGAAAAAATTGCCAAACCAGAAATCATGATCTACAGACTGTGTAACAGTTTGCTTTATTTAAAACATTATTTATTAATAGTTATAAACTTCTGACTTAGCTTCTCAATAAAGTATCTGAAACATTTACTAAGGTTCATTTGAACTAGGAAATTAAAAGTGTAGAACAGATTTTCTAAAGTCAATAAGAACATGTTCTTTATGCAGTGGGCCTACCATATTTTTATATTATAGGGATTTCTGTTTCAGAATCCTCTTGGTTATATATTTCCACTGGACAAATAGCCTGTGCCGAGCAAAAGCATTTGGAAGTCCAACAAAGAGTAATATGGGAGAAGAGAGGACTGCTCTTCTAGGTGAGTACCTGCTTCCTTGTGATCTAAGACTTTTGTACAAATAAATAAATTGTACTTATACGAATTAAACTCATACTAATAAATGATATTGTGACTCATAATAGGAATTGAATATTTGTGCTTTAAAAACACTTCATTCTATGTCAACATTGTTTTTTATGCTTATGATTTGATAAAGTTTATCTTCAATTGTTGAATATTTTAAAAACATTTTGTTTCTATATTATGAAGGTATTGCAGATTGACAGTAGAGATAGAAAACTAGAAATTTCTTGTTTCTTGTTTTATCTGGTCACCCAGACTTGTCTCAAATGTTTTTGTGATTAATTGGATATATAATATCGCTTAACATATTTTGAAAATATGTACAATATTATTTAATTTTTTGTTGTATGTAAGCAATGATACAAACAAAACCTTTATTATATATACATTTATTTTTATTTATGATAAAATTGTTGTACAGTTAAATAATTTAAATTAAGAAGAACATTGATATTTTTGTATTAATGAATAATGCACATTCATAGATCTAATTTTATGAAGGTACTTCATGAACAAAATAACCAATATTGTTGGAAACTTTTTGGAAAGTGATAAAATTAGATTTTATAATTTTCAAATATTCAATGAAGACTATAAACTGCTATTGAGTACTTTTGTAATTCATGGACAATTCATGGGCATTTTATTAAAATTATAGTGAGGCTTAAAACTGCAAAATTAAAAATAAAAAAAATAATTATGAAATATAAGAACAAAGTTTTGTTGATATAAAATAGTGATTTTTTCTATAAAGAAATATTTGCTTTGAATAATTGCTATCCTAATCAGAAGTGTTTTAAATTTCTGTGAATTAATTTGAGTAGCTTCTGTTCAGAAAAATTGATATAATGTCCCAAAAAGTAGGAAGAGTTAGAGAAATTTGGTTTCAAAATTTTGTTGCCTCCCTATTTCGAAAAATACAGTTTGTTGTCAACAGTGTCTTTTTTTTTCTTTTTAGTTTTTTTTAGTTTTTAACCAGTCGTAAATGTTACAAAGAAAATATATTTGAACAACACAACATGTTCCATTCCATTCTTATATACTCCCTGTTGTTGATTTATTATTCAATTTAATGTTTTGCCCTAAGTCAAAAGCTTACTGAAAACTATTACATTTCAAGAGAGTAAAAGTAAGTCCTTTTGTGTCGAGCTAGTAAGAGCAAATTGTAAAATTGTGCAAAAATATTGTAACAAACAGTACTGCAGGGAGATTTATTTAACTATGGGAAATGTAAGAAACAGGAACCAAACGTCCTTGGTAAATCTGGATTCTTTAAAAAAATAAATCAACTTTTAATTCAATCTAATAAAAGTAATCATAATTAATATTACATAATTTAGATTGTATACTGGATTTGAATGAGTGCAGATTTTGAGTGTTTTGTGCTGTGCTTAATGATTAGGGAGTCTCTAATATTTTGAATTTTAATAAGATAGCAAAAAGGAGTTTAAATAGTTTGGTGCACTGAGAAATTAAACAATTGTATTGTGCAACCTGAGAACAGAATTTAAAATAAATAACCAAAATATTAAAATTCTTCTTGAAGCAATTAATATTGAAAAGTTCTTTGCTGACCTTAAAATTAAAGTTTCAAAGACTAAAAATTTGAAATTAAATTTTACAAGAATGTGAAAACATGTTCAATATCTTTATATATATACCTGTTTTGGAAGCACAATTTTCTTTGAAATGAGCTACAATAATTTTAAAAATAAGCGATAGTAATAATTTTAAAAATTTGAACAATAACAATTATTTCTGTAATGAAGAAAACTGGAAATTCTAATGAACATTCAGGAGAGACAGCGTTCTTGAATATGTGAGACTCACACCCACTAAAAGCAAGAACCCTTTCCTTTGGATGGTAACCATTGTGGAAACGCTTTCGCATTACTTTAGAATGGTGTCTGGTTTTTGTTGTCAGAGGACTTTTCTCGTAATCTTACTGCTTTGCGTTGCCCTTGCCAAAAGCCACAGGCATGAATTTCCCTGTTTCTTTCGTGCGCAATCCTTTTCAGTTCTCTTGCGCGACGGTGGCAGGATTTTCGACACTAGCTAGGCTGCATAGCTAGGTCGACTGGAGGAGACTTCTATCGGCCGACAACTCTGATCCATAATTTTCAGTGATCGAAATCGAATCACCATGCGAATGTCGGAGCAATACTCTAAGAAACGGGCCAGGGATCGCCCGCGATCATTCCTTCCTCTTCCTTTCCTCACCCCTTACACACACACACACACGCACACGCACACACGCGCACGCACGCACGCACGCACGCGCTGTACATGTACACACGCTACATTAGAGCGCGTACCTGCAAAGCAGTCGGGAGCAAAGAGAATATATCGTATCGGGAGCTCAGAGCTTGTCCCGGCTGGGGCGGTGCCCCGCTGATGGGAGATACCTGGTTAGGGGAAAAATTGAGTTTAGTTAGTGTTTAATAAAATCACTTTTTCTATGTGAAACAATAAATATGAATTTCAGTAAAAACAGTTTTAATGTTAGCGTCATTTGATTCATTTCATAAAGTCCTACCTTAAAAGTAATGGTCTTATGATAAATAAAGATATTGTCTGCTATCAATACTTTTTATTCAGCTTATGATCGTTTCGATCGCGTAGCGATCATCCTCAGAGCTTGCAGCTTCGGGGCCGAAAATTCGGCCCAGGGGGCTGGGGGAAAATTCGGCCGTTTTTAGTCTTCTTTGTCAAGATTTTCATGTCATACATTAGGGCTATTTAATTAAGTTCATTTGCAGACCTCTGTAAGGCATCTGACTCCATTGTTAGGATCATGTCATCTGCATAGAAAATCATTTGGACCATTTGTCTTTTGTTTAAATTTATACCGGTTTTCACTTTTTGATCATGTGGTATGCATAAATGTTAAACAGGCATGGTGATAGCCCACACCCGTCTCAGTCCTTTGGTTGTTAAAAAGACTCTTTATTGCTTCCATCATTCAATCTGACTTTAATCTGAGAGTTTGTATACAAACTCAGGATTCCTTTTATTATGTCTGTAGGTATCTCTTCATCTTCCAGTATTTCCCACATTTTGTTTCTGTTCACCCTATCAAAGTCTATAAAGAGGAAGAGTTCCTCCTCTTTCGTTTGTCCAGGTTTGTCTGTTCGTTGTGTGTCGTTTCTCTGTTGCTGTGAAAATAGCATCTTTTGTACTTCTGCCCTTTCTAAATCCATTTTGTTCTCCCAAGAATTTTTCACTATATTCATTTAATTTATTTCTTAAGATGTTAGCAAAAAGTTTTGATAATGTAGACAGGAGAGTGATCCTTCTATAGTTGTTTGCAGTCGGTTTTTGATGCTTTCTTGTGTAAATTTACCACTATACCTATCTGCCATTCTCTTGGAAGCTTTTCCAAGCTTTGTAGTAACTATATTATTTTAATAAGTAGTTAGGCTTTTATACATCACTCATTCAGCCATCCTCACTTCCAAGGAAAATAAATTCTCTCCATTGCTTTAAAGGCAAGTGTTTGGCAGTATTTAATCATTTGGGAGTATGGGTACAGCATTTTAGAATTAACAATAAATGCTACAATTTTGAAGTCAAACATACCTTTTGAATATAATTAGATAAATGATTTAAGATTTCAATTCACTGTTTGGAATTGTTTACAACAGTACATCTCTTATTTCATTCCATTTCATTTTCTCAAGCAGTATATCATGATACGTTAATCAAAAGCTTTTGAAAAATCTAGAAAATGACTTTTGTGTTGTTTGTGTTGTTTTTTTCTCAATTGTTCAGTGGATGAAGTTTGCCTTGGCAATAGTTGTAGATAGTCCCTCTCTGAATCCATAATGAAATTTTGATGGAGTCCACTAAGCTTTTTATTGTATTCAGACATACCATTCCAAAGAATTGGCAGAGATATAGGTTGGGGTTCTAGAATGATCACTTCTTGCTTTCATGTCATCTTTTTTATGGAATGATAATGCAATACCTATTTTCAATTCTTTAGGAAAAGTAAGTTCACTTAAAGAGCTATTTGTTAATCATAAAAGACAGTTCCTTTTTGAATTTAAGACTTTCAACTTTGTTGTAAATAACCATGATTTATTGTTTCATTTCAGACCTCTGGTTTAAAGAAAATGTTACAAGAAAGAAAATGGTATGATAGAAATGCTTCTGTATTATTTTTAACAACAGATCAAAAGTGTTAATTGAACATAAGCTCCAAATCACAATACAGGATAATATAAACAATTACTTTCAGCTTCAGATTAAAAGCTATACAATTAATGAAGATTTGTGTGATATTTAGTACATTTTGTATAAGTTGACAGAAGCTTACCTTATTAGTAATCAAGCTGGAGTGCAAATTAATAACAAGAATAAAAATATTTACATTATTTATAATATATACCATAACTTAAACACTGTGAGAAGTTCGCATTCATTTTTAGTTGTTTCTGTCTTTTAAACTTCTGTGAGAGACATCTGGAGTCAGTTATGCGCAAATGTAGTTCAACTGTCAAGGAAGGGTGGGGGAAGAAACTAAATGAGAAGAAAGAGTGGTGTAAATTCAACTGCGATGAGAGATAATGAGACTTTCATTCCACTGATTACTTATGAATTAATTTGAATTATTTGTCTTAATAATCTACAATAGCAAGTTGTCATAAGGTCTGGTGTAGGAATTGGTTTCTACCATGGTAATTAAAGTTTGATTTTTGTTTATTTAGTTTTCTATGCAATGTCCTAAAGTATTCTACATATCTTAACTATTTTGCTTCACATGCAAAGTATGTTGCATATAAAACTAAATAAAACTTTAAGTACCATGGTAGCCCAAAATCTTGATGGAGCGTTACACAAATAAGCGAATCAAATAATGATGATTTTCCATCAAAACTTGCATTGTTACTATTTTTAAAAACTCTTATTAAACTACTGGTTACTTGTTCTGTTGACATGAGAAGCTTGTGGTG